CCGCCGCCGCCCCGCACCGCGGACCCTGGCAGCTCCCCGGGACCGGCCCCCGCGGAGGCCGAGCCCGCCCCCGGGCAGAGTTTGCGCGTCTACTCGGACCTGCACGCCTTCTACTACTCGTGGTACGGGAGCCCGCGGCGCGAGGGCCACTACATCCACTGGGACCACGTCATGGTGCCACACTGGGACCCCAAGATCTCGGCCAGCTACCCCCGCGGCCGCCACAGCCCTCCAGACGACTTGGGCTCCAGCTTCTACCCGGAGCTGGGGCCCTACAGCTCCCGGGACCCCGATGTGCTGCGTGAGCACATGACCCAGCTCAAGGAAGCCGCCATCGGTGAGTTCCCCCGCTCCGTCCCCAGCCTCGCCCTTCTCCGTTCCCGCACCTCAGCTCCTGGTGGTCTTGTCACTGGGCCTTTGGGCCAACTCACCTGCCAGCCTGGCTTCTTAGGCCTTCCCTCCCACTCTCGTCCTGGGTCCACCACGCAGAACCGCCCCCCTCTTTCTATTCAGACTCCCCCACTTAGGCCTTTTTTTTTTTGTCTTTTTTCGTGTCCGGCAACGGATCGCAACCCTCAGTGTCGCGCCCGTACCGGACCGGCAACGGAATCGCAACCCTCGGTGTTGCGCCTGCACCTCGCTCAGCCAGTGAGTGGCCGGTCTGTATGTGGGATCCGAACCCTCGGCGGGAGCGTCGCCGCGCTCTCAAGCGGCGCACTGTAGCAGTGCGCCACCGGGCCGGCCCCCCACTTAGGCCTTTCTGACCCCCAACATTCCAGGGCCCTTCCATAGGGCGGAGATGCTGGTAATTTGTGCCAGAGCTGTCCCAGGTAGGGACAGTGAAGAGAGGGAGGCAGAGTGTTCCAATCTGTTTGGCTTCTAGTTTGAGCAATGAAGTGAGGCCTGGGTACCCTGGCTCCTCAAGAGTCTGGGGTTCAGAGCAGTAGAGCCTGGATGGCCTTTACTTTCACAGCAGGCACAGAGTAGAACAGCAACCCTTCCTGGTTTTGCTGGCTGTAGAGAGAAAAATTTGCCCATGTTGCATGATGGACCCTGCTCTGTTTGCAGGGGGAGCCCAGGAGCTTTTCATCAGGCACTCAGCTAGAAGAGAGAACCCTGGGAGTCTCCTCTGTAGGGGGGTGGGGAGGTTCACCTGCTTCAGGTTTTGTCACTGAATTCTGCTGGATTGTACAGTACATTCTAATTTACCTGGAGATGGTTTGTGAATGGGGGGGGGAATAGAATGACAGAGAAAAGGTGAGAAGTAGACAAAGATAAATAAGACAGGGACTGTCCTTTGGGATTTTCAGGTCTAGACGGCAGACAGCTGAGGCAAACGTTACTTCCCATGGGAAGCACTGGGATGGCCTCTGCTCGGGGTGCTTCTCCACCTGAGGCCTCAGGGAGGCTCCTCTTCTTTAGAGCTAGGACTGTGGCTTCTTGGTGGGTGTGGCATTATCCACTCAATTCTCTTTGTTCTACTACTTGCTGATGCACTCGTAAGCCCGGCTCCTTCCGGCCTGTCGCTCTACGGTTCCCGCAGCTGTGCGCTTCAGCACCGGTGGCGCGGACAGCTCCGGAGCGCGAGGCTCAGGGATCTGATCTGCGGGATGTGAGCCTGGCAGGAGTCTCGCTCAAGCTTTTCAGAAACCATTTTGCAGTTGGATATGTTACATGAGAAAAAATATTCTGTTTAGGGGGGTATTGTGTATCTCTGAAGTGGCCTCTGTGTTGTGTCTCAGGAGTCCTGGTCCTGTCCTGGTACCCACCTGGCATGGCTGATGATAACGGGGAACCCTCAGATGACCTGGTGCCCGCCATTCTGGACACTGCCCATCAGCACGACATCCAGGTGAGTTTCCAAGAAGATGTCACGTGCTGTCTGCTCTATTTTGGAGCTTTGCCCTCCTCTGCCCACGGGGTTAGTGCCTCCACAGAAGTTCTTCCCAGTAGCTCAGGGATGGCACATATGTAGCAAGTGTGGTGTTCAGTGAGGGTTCTAATAAATAGTGCCTATGTCACTCTGATTTTCTTGAATTCTGAGAAGAATTGAGGAAATGAAATATAGGACAATGAGAAACTAAATAAATATGACTTTTATTAAATAATATTAGAAGATAGGTTGTAGATCCTGATTCTGATTAAAGGGTAGGCAAAAGCCAAGTAAACACGCAGACTGAACTCTGGACTCAACTTCCCAGTGGGAAGCAGTGCTGGCCACAAGGAGTAGAGCACAACATGGGCTCTCAGCAGAGCTGAACTAAGCATGTCATTATTTTCCCCAGTTGTACCAATCAAGTCCGTCGTTGCCCGCTTCTGTAGTGAAGGAAGAATGACGGAGAGAAGCTCCACTCCCCATTCCTGAGTCCTTCACTGACTCGTTTAATCCAGCACATTTTTCCATCAATGCAGATTTAGCAGATTCTTCCCATTGTTTCAGGCAGCTACCGCCAATCACTTGGAGTTGGCACATAGGTTGAAATCTATTAGCCATACTGTGACAGTCCACAAAAATGATTCCCAGTTGGCTTGCTATGGGAGGTGGCAAACTCATCTCTCTTTTTTGGCCCTGAAGGGCAGTGGCTGCATTTATCCCTATTGTGCCCACCATTGCCAGGCCCTCTCCTGAACTCAGCCTCTCCTCCAGGCCATGGTTGGAGCATGAGTCTTACATGTCGTGGCCCCTGGACAGATATTCTCCTGACCAGTAACTCCTCTGTTTGTGGCAGGTGGCCTTCCACATCCAACCCTACAAGGGCCGGGATGACATCACTGTACATGACAACATCAAGTACATTATTGACACGTAAGGCTGCTCTGGGGGCTGGGATTTTGGTGGGGATCAAAATGGGGGTAGAGGTAGAAGGTTTGGAGGGACAGGTTAGGAGAAACAAGGGCAGCAAGCCTGTGTTCCCAGCTGTTCTGTTTTGTTATTTTTTTGGTGGCTTGCCAGTACAGGGATCTGAACCCTTGACCTTGGTGTTATCAGTGCCATGCTCTCCCAAGTGAGCTAACTGGCCAGCCACAGCACATGTTTTATAGTAAGAGTACTGACCTGGAGTCAGGCAATCTGGGTTTCAATTCCAGTTTCGTTGCCTCTAATCTGTGATCAGAGGCAAGCCTCTTAACCTTTGAGTCTTGTGAGAGTTACATGAGTTAATATATGTGAAAGTAGATTGTACAGTGTTTGGACATTTCATTCATTCAAAACTACTGCGTGCCTACATGTGTCAAGGCACTGTCCTAAGCCCAATTATACAGTAATGGGTAGGACTAGCAACGATTTTAATGATATGAAATCATTATCTGATTTTATAATGTTTAATTCTAGTGTGTTGGGGGTGCAGTGGAGCAGAAAGTAATTAAATGGCAAAAATCAAATAGATCCGTACTATGAAAAAATAATAATAAAGAATAAAGCAGAGTCTTGTGCTAGCGTGTGCCCAAGAAACTACTTTAGAATGGGTGGTGAACCTCTTTGAGGAGACACCATGTAAACTAACACCTAAATAACCAGTTCTGCAAAGATCTGGGGGCAGCCAGAAAATTTCAAGCAGAGGGCTGGCAGATGCAAAGGCTGTAAGATGGTACAAGCTTGGCATGACAGCAGAATAGAATGACCAGACAGGGAGTGGAGACTGATGGGGTAACAGCAGGGATGGAGGTAGGCAGGGCCAGATCAAGTAGGGGAGATAATGGATTATAGGGAGGCAGGAACTGAAGCCAGGAGACCACTTAAATGGCTATTGCCACCATCCAGATGAAAGATGGTGGTGACTTGGCTCAGGGTAGGGAAGTGAGGCTTAAGAATGACAAGGCTGGGAGAGGAGGGAAGGGAACCAGGTTCTTGCTTAGAAGCATGATGAGTCCAACTGTGCATTTTGGCTGGATCCTAAATGGTGCTGTGGCATCAAGAAAGAGCTCATCCATGGCTGGTCCTACAGCTGTGCTGGTCTCTTCCATCCAACTCAGGCTCTTCCTCCTCCTGTTCCTCAGGTATGGCTCTCATGGTGCATTTTACCACTATAAGAACAGCATGGGCAAGAGCCTCCCACTCTTTTATATCTACGACTCATACTTGACATCACCTGAGGCCTGGGCCCACCTCCTGACACCAAATGGGCCTCACTCAATCCGCAACACCCCCTATGATGGGGTCTTCATAGCGCTGCTGGTGGAGGAGGGCCACACACATGACATCCTGGCCGCTGGATTTGATGGCATGTACACCTACTTTGCCTCCAACGGTTTCTCCTTTGGCTCCTCGCATCAGAACTGGAAAGCTGTGAAGAACTTTTGTGATGCCAACAACCTCATGTTCATTCCCAGTGTGGGGCCTGGCTACATTGACACCAGCATACGGCCCTGGAACAACCACAATACGCGGAACAGAGTCAATGGCAAGTACTATGAGACAGCCCTGCAGGCGGCCTTGACAGTGAGGCCTGAGATTGTCTCCATCACCTCCTTCAATGAGTGGCACGAGGGCACCCAGATAGAGAAGGCCATTCCCAAGAAGACACCAACTCGCCTGTATTTGGACTACCTGCCCCATCAGCCCAGCCTGTACCTAGAGCTGACCCGCCGCTGGGCAGAACACTTCATCAAAGAGAAGGAGCAGTGGCTGATGTGATAAGCAGGCATGTGGTGCTGATGTCCCAGCATCAAAGGAAAATGTCACCATGTGGGGCTCAGCTGAGGTCTTGTCCCTAAGGCAGCAGATGGGTGCTTCTGGGTGAGCCTTTAGGCCTAGGCCCATGTAGAACAGAGCCCGTTCCTCAGGCAAGTGGCGCTGGGGTGCTCTGCAGTGATGGGAAGCTAGGCAGTGTTCCAGAAAACAATAGAAGCCGACAGGTGACTGGACCAAGCCCAGGGAAGCCCACAGCCTCAGAACACTTTCATGTAATCCCTTGTAGTTGAACTCTGTGGCAGGTTGGTGTTGTGTCATGGAGTCACCCTGTCACTGCTCTTGGAAGGGCATCAGGGTTCTGGGCTAGCATGCACGCTGCTCCCTTCTGCCAGCCTTTGTCCTTTCTTCAGGCTGTTCCCATATCATCTATCTTCTCTAAGTTAGGGAACCATATTTGAGACCTTCTAAAAGGGAACTTCTAGGTTTAAGCTCCTCCCAGTAGATTCCTGAACCCAATTATCAGGAAATTATCCTGAGCATTCACTCATTCGATACCCACTAACCGAGCACTTTACTATGTGCTAGGTGCTGGGGAAAACTTGACCAAGGAACAGTTCCTGTCCTCCTGAAGCTTACAGGATCCAGCTTTCCTTATTTGGTGTGGCCTTGTAGCTAGTGCCTGGGCAGTTATCAGTTTTTCTTTTTTACAGTTTCACCCCCTGCTGGGAGTTGTTCTTTTTCCTCTTTAAGAAAATACCTCTGTGCTCCAGAGCCTACCTTTTCCCAGGTGAACATTTAGCTCCAGGGAGAGGACTAAGGACACCCCTCCCTTTAGCTGCCTGAATTGAATGAGGCCCACTCACGAAAGCCATTTCTAGTGCTACTGTGATATTAAAGATGGAGTGGTATTCTCAAGTGAGCATTCCTTTTGCTCTCTTCAAGTCTTCTCAGAGTTTTTTGACAAATTGACATATTGGCTGGGCGGGCTATAGTTTCAGCACAATGAAGTTAGTTTGCTTAAGAAATTCCTATTAAACAGTATTTCTAGAGAATAATTAACCAGCCAGTGCTTATTTACAAATAAACTAATATGCTAATTGCCAGGACCCTCATTAAAGCAGGCTCTGGGGACACTTTCTTGGCAACATCCTTAGGACCTACTTGAAAATGTGTGCATTGGAAATCACTGTACTGAGAAGCTTATGGGCAAGACTGAATCGGACATTTTCTCTTTTTTTTCTGGTGGCTGGCCAGAACGGGGATCCGGACTTGTGACCTTGGTGTTACAAGGCTGCGCTCTAACCAACTGAGCAAACCAGCCAGGACCCAAGACTGAATTGGAATTCTCGGAACTGGGATGTAAGAGGGGAGAGGAGGAAGTGGACCCCAGCCCGTTAGGTAACTGATTTGAAACACCACTGGTTATATGAGCAGGCCTGGCTGCCTGGTTTGTGTCATAGTTGGGGAAACCAAGGCAGGCAGGGACAGTTGAAAGGGCTGGCTTTTGACCTGTAGCAATTTACAGAAGGTAGTAGCATTGAGGCTTCATTTCACACATAAACAATTTGAAAAATACTAAAAATATGGCAAGTCCAGGGGGCAGGGGCAGCGATTCTCACACACTGCTGACAGCTATATAAATTAATTCAGTTCTTTTGAAGGCTAATCTATATCAAGAGCCATAAACCATTCATACACTTTGACCTGGTAATCCTACCCTGAGGAAGCAATTCAAAAGAAAAAAAATAAACCATTTACAAATATGTTTAATAGCAGCATTTTTTTTTATATGAAAGAAAAAGTTTAAATGCCCAACAACAATTATGTTTAGCACTTGGTATACATACGAATAAATATAAAAGGCTGCTGAGTACACACTGGGTTTAAATAAAGATGTTATAATTATAATTTATGAATAAATAAGAAAAAACTCACTGGCTGAAAAGGATAGTAGAAATTTACTTTCCAATATTTTTTAATCTGGATTCCCCCTACCTCTACCCTCTGCCAACTGAGCAGACTTCGCATTAGACCCAAATGACTACTCGCCCCTGTACACAATTACAGAACACCACACCACTAGCCTCACTGGTTCAGAGGAAACAGTGTTTGGCCTGTGACTCTACAATCTTTATCCTAACTTGAATCCAGCTTCAGGAGCCCAAACTCATGCCTTTAGTCCCCTAAGACTTTTTAACAGCACTGGCACTTCTGGCTGATTTGGACCTTAAACGTCACCACCCACCAGAAAGGAGGTTTTCACTAGACTGTTATTTAAATTTCTTTCCAATTGAGTGAGGGAGGGAGGGAGGAAAAGAGAGATAAGGGGAGAGAGAGGGAGGGAGAGAAGTCGAAGAGAAGAGAGAGAGAGCGGTGAGGGAGGGGGAGGGAAGAGAGAGAGGGAGAGAGGAGAAGAAAACTTACCAGAATAAGGCCACCTTAGGAATGTTCTTAACCTCTCTACCCATCTTTTGGCTGATACATGAAACTATCATAAAACAGATAACAAATATAACTTTTCCTCCAGGTGCGAAGATAAACCAGCAGCTTCTGAGACCTGGTCTAAGGTGTTTAGAAAGACACATTGCTTAATGGGTCAGGCTAGTGACACAGCTCAAGGGCCTCTACAAATGAAGCCTTGCCAGCCACCCACAAACAGACACATAGTATCCAGCACCAGTCCTTGGGTCCCCCCTCCTCCCTAGTTTCATGAGCAGGATCCATGTGAGGGGAGCAGCCCATACTTCTGTTGGAGGATGGTTGTAGTACTTTCCAGGGCACTGAGGAAGAAACAGAGGAGAGTGAGTCACAGTTCTCAAAGGCCTGAGCCCACCAGTCTGGTGACCGGGACCTCTAAATTTACTCATCTTATTATGCTCAGTTTATCAAACCCTTGATGAATCCTTTTGAATCCTAAAATAAGTTAGCAAACACCAGTAATTTTAGTCTCATTGCACTTACCACTTCTCCAAACCTGCCCACACTTCCTCAAGGCAAGATAGGAGTGACAACCTTCATTTTGTCAAAGTTTTTTTTGCATCCTCCCAACCTCCCTCAAATTCTACCCCCATGCCACATGAAAGAGACTTACCAGCCTGGACGAATGATGCCAAACTTTCCAGGCACAGATAAGTCAACCACAGTTGAGCCAAGGCGACACTCAGGGCTCTCGCCATCCCCAATTGGTCCTCCATCAATGACCAGAGATAACTGAGGCCAGAGGTCTTGAAACTCCTGAGAAAGGAAAAGCATGAACATTATCCCCGGCATCTGCAGTGATGTCATACTGCATACATAGTTCATAAGACAAAGACCTCACTTCATTTAGTTAAAGTCAGCTGTGCCAAAGACACTGCAGTAGCACCTGGGACAATGCATCCTTTGAGGTTTGGAGCCCTCCTGGGTTAGCACCCAAGTAACACCTTCTAGAGCTTAAAGAAAATCTTGCTCTGCCAGAAAGAAATTCCACACATTGCTTCGGTTACGGAGTTATATATGCAATGACTGGAATTGGTGGGTGGGAGTCAAGGGATGTGGACTCTAATCCTAGATATCTACCATATCTCTGTGTATCCACATGTTACATTACTTTACCTAGGCCTATAAAACAAGGGAACTAGACTAGATGATCAGTAAGTGTCCTTCCAGCTCTAGCACTTTGATCCTGGATCTTAGTGGACCTCTAGAGAGGAAAACAGGATGGACCCTACAAGCACATGCCAGCAGCAGTCAGTCCTTGGGCTATGGGAAGGCTAATTCCACTAGAACTGTGCACTGAATTGTTAACAGAGTTAAAGAGTCTGTCCCCCCCCCATGAAGACACTGCAGTGGCAGTTAGGCCTAGGAATTTGGGATGGGGGATCATAAATACCAGTCACTGTGTTAGACAGGTCAACTGACTGTTGACAATGTAAGAATCTCCCCCTGACAAATTCCCACCCCAGCTCCTTGGGTACAGTCACCAGGCCCAAGTAAGGCCTATGGTCTGAGAATGAGAAGAGAGGCTGAGCTCTAAATTTCCAAGGCCCCGAACCCACTCTCTAGGTCTGAGCATGGAAAACCCCATTACTTTAACTATGCTCTGCATTTAAATTTAATAAGAAGAAAAGAAAGTGAAATATCTTTGTGTCCTCATTCATTCTAAGCTAGGAACCCAGGACAGGATTAAGATGATCCTTTCTATGACCTGGCTTGTGGCACAGGCAAGAGAACAGGGTCAGGAGTTAAAGACTGAGTAAAAATCTAGGTCAGTCACTTAATGAATGTTTGACCTGGAACAAGTGATTTAACTTTTTGTAGCCTTAACTTCATTTTTCTTTACAGTATTATTGTAAAGACTTATAGCCTAACTCTGTATTCTCCAAGAACTGCTACCTGCACAAAAACAGGCAAACAATGATGTTATGTATCATTATCTTGCTTACTATTACAAAGATGGTAGTAAAAAACACCAATTCTGGGCCGGCCTGTGGCTCACTCGGTAGAGTGCGGTGCTGATAACACCAAGGCCACGGGTTCGGATCCCATATAGGGATGGCCGGTTGGCTCGCTGGCTGAGCGTGGTGCTGACAACACCAAGTCAAGGGTTAAGATCCCCTTACCGGTCATCTTTAAAAAAAAACAACAACAAAAAAAAAACCCACCAATTCTCCCTCTGGCCTCTCAAACTTTGAAATAAAACCTTTCCAAGATCCTTTAATTTGAGGGCCGGCCCGTGGCTCACTCGGTAGAGTGCGGTGCTGATAACACCAAGGCTGCGGGTTCGGATCCTATATAGGGATGGCCGGTTTGCTCACTGGCTGAGCGTGGTGCTGACAACACCAAGCCAAGGGTTGAGATCCCCTTACCGGTCATCTTTTTAATAAAAAAAAAAAAGATCCTTTAATTTGCATTCCTCCCCACCCCTACCCCCTGCCACCTGGGCAGCTTTCCCACTATTAGACCAAAAAGGTCACTCTCCCACCAGGCAATTCCAGTGCACAGTCAACCCCACTGGCTCTGAGGAAACAGTGTTTGGCCTGGTGATGTTTCTGGGGGAAAGACTGGGAAACTCTCACCGTGACATTCAGAGAACTGGCCTGGGAGCTGAGGTTGGCGCTGGTGAGAGCAAGAGGTCCCCCAAACATCTGGGCCAAGTCCTGCATGAAGGCATGGTCAGGAATCCGGATGCCTACAAGCTATGAGTTAAGGGGAAAGGGGATCATCAGAAAGGGTGGAAGGGGTAAGGAAGGGGTAAGGAATGGGTCTGGTCTGGATCCTAGTCAAAGCCAAGTGGCCAGAAGGAGTGTGGAGACACGAGAAAATGTGACTCACAGGAGTAAAGGGGTTCAGGTCCTTGTTGAGCTCCTCTGAGCGTTCCATCACCAGGGTCACTGGTCCTGGCAACAGGTCTTTCAGGAGCTCCTCGGGTACTCTCACATGGCAATACCTGAAAACAAAGGAGCACAAATCCATCCAAAATGAAGAGCCACTGGTAAAACTTTCCGACTCTAGACAGGTCCTTAGGGCCTACAATGGCATCCATCTGTCTTCCTGCTTCACCTCCCCAAGAGCTTGAGCAGAAAGAACGTGGGGCTCCAGATGAGCACCCCAGGCTTGGAGCCTACATGCCTCTGATCTCTGTGATACGGTGATAGCAGTATCAAGCTCCCTATTTTATTTTCTTCAAAGCACTCGCTACTAAATTAAGCTACCGCCTTTGTCTCCTTTTATCCCGTAGGCCTCTCCCCATTAGCACAAAAGCGGTAACAGTACAGGGCCCCTGACAGTCTTGTTCATCGCGGAGGCCCACCATCTAGTTCAAGGCCTGACGTACGTTGAGTGCTCGATACATATTTCCAGTTCCGGATTCCTTGGTGAGCCTGGACAAGCCCCTCCTGCTCTCTGCGCCTCAGTCTCCCAAGCCTGTCACCGGAAACCCCTCCCGCGGTGCCGCCCCCAGTGGGGCCGG